GCCGGCTGTGATTACCTGTTGCTTGGTCGAACGGTTTGGTTTTAAGCTGAAATGCGTCTCCTGCAACGCCTTCTCAATTACTTTGGTCGAATAAGGGCGTTTGGTGTCCGGATTGACACACATTGAGGACACCAAATTGGCCACCTCGGTGAATGATGCTTCCGCTTGCGCATGACGCTCCTTTTCCGACACTTGCAGGTCACCCTTGTCCAAAATCTTAAAAAAAGACGTGATGATGCTTTTAATCTGTTCCAACAAATTAGCTATGAAACTGTCTAAACTCGTTGGAGAGGACAATGGGAAGCAGACGAACGAACCGATCGTCGAGAGGAGTATGTAATGCCTAACGGGAGTTGAATTGGCTGCTAGTGTGATACTAGGATCCATTTCAATGTTTACATGGAATTTTGTGGGTTAGACGAACTCAAAATAAAGAAGAATGGAGAAGCTGCTAGCTGTAAATGGGAATCTCATTTTACTCCCGTTTTACAGAATCTTCTTATACTGCACAGCCGTTACCTCGGAACTTAAAAAAGTAATAGGACAGGATATTGAATGATTTATGAGGTCACGCACATATGATATGCTAAACGTCAGAACAAAAAATATTACTTGCACCCGGCGCGTTCCCAAACTTATTGTGCCGGAAGCAAAAACACTATATCAAGGTAGGCGCGGTTTACAGCTCCTCGAGGTCACTCACGCACCTCCTCTCCTGGCTACCCCAAACTTCCCCCATACATAAACCCAGTTTTTGGGAACAAAACTCATCCTTCGTCCCACTCGGACTGAGTGGCGGGGGCAAGTTCTGTAGCCCACTGTCCTCAGCCCTCACAACCTTTCCCTTCCCCTTTCATTTTATTTTACTTTTTCCTCTTTTTCTTCTCCCTCTTATCCACGGACCAGGCCTACAGGAGAGTATTGAGGATGAGGCCCGGGTAAAAGTGGGTACACTGCTGTAGAGAGAGATATTGTTTAGGGTGTCTGCAGTTACTGTTACTGAAATATTTCTTATAGAATTTGGTAGGAGTAACTGTGTAGGTGCCTCGGCTGTAGGGAGATTATCGAATTGCAGTAGACTGTTGTATGCATGTATATGTAAGTGTTATAGATATTTTATATAACTCTGCTAGGACTGTCGCTATTTTATTGTACTGTTTACCACATTAGGTTAATAAACCAAATTTGAGGTGAATAATATTGATGTATTTTGTCAACGTGCAAAGAATGCCAGTCCGTCTCAACGTCCACGTGTGAATCAGTTGTTGCCGAGGCCTCCAGATATGTGGTTGTTGCCTTGCCAGCAGATTTTCGAAACCACCAGTTTAAGTGGAGGCCCCGGAAGTTCGGCAGTTGACTCCCAGTCGTCATCAGGCGTTCAACAGTAGTTCACCCGTTGCGGGATCGCTACTCCTAGTGGAAACATTTACTTCAGCTGTATCAATGGTACGAGAAGGGAACTGAAAATGAAAGCTAAGTTGAAAGTGAAAAAAAATATAAGAATGACCGGGAGGAGCAAGCATCAAAATTCAACTGCTTACTATTTTACAAATTTCCAGCTGGTCTTCAGTACC